GAAAGATGAGGTGAATCATAGAATTAATAAGGGGAAAAAGGTGAGTAGTGCACTGAGGAGTGTGCAGACACACACAACTGCATCAGCCTGTATTTTCACTCAGTATTATCGATAACATTTAATATAACGAGTTTTTTCTTTATATGTGCTTAATGTCAGTAGCCATCCCCTAGTACAGTGGACCCCCTTTTTTCATAATTCGTTCCAGAGAGTGATTTATTATCGAAATTGACGATTTGCGAATCCATTTTCCCCACAAGAAATAATGTAAATCCAATTAATTCGTTCCACACACCCAGAAGTATAAAAAAAAAAAATTTTTTTTTTTACCTTAAAGATAGATTTACATGCACAAAAGAATGAACATTCAACATGATGGTTACCTTTATTGAAGGCTGTTGTTGATGAATGGAAGACAGGGAGGAGGAGAGAGGGAAGAGAGGTTATTGTTTGGAAAGGGACTCCCCCTCCAAAAGGACTCTAGGTCACTTCAGGGGTCACTTCCCTAGCCACTTCCCTAGCTTAAATATAAATTTACATGTAGAAAAGAATGCCCAATAAATGTAAAGCACTAAAAAAATCTATAAATGAACATTTAACATCACACTTACCTTTATTGAAGACTCTTGTTGGTGTATGGCAGACGGGGCAGAGGGAGGGGAGGCGAGGCAAGTTTATTGTTGTAGAATATGGCACTAATATCAATTTTACGGCTTACTTATATATCACAATTCAATTAATATGACAGAAACAATATTAATAACATAGAAACATGGAATATACTCTAGAATGAATAAAATAAGTCATTATGTATGTCACAACAGGTGTTGTGTTGTTGTTGGGTGTATAAGGGCCACCGAGAGCATAAGCCGTCCATAATGGAAGTGAAGCAGCAGCTGAGGCGCCGGTGTTTTCTGTAGCTCTATATAACTCCAACAACATTGGAGGAGTTAGTAGAATCACTGAAGAAGGCACCCTCTACCACCATCACAACCACTACCATCACTACCACCCTCTACCACTATCACAACTGCTACCACCATCACTACCACCCTCTACCACTATCACAACTGCTACCACTCTTCCACCACCACTTTCATATTTTTCTATAAACTTTTTCTTAAATTATGTGTGTTTCTCACATTCTTTACCTAATGGCTGGCACTAGAAGCTTTCTTTGGAGCCATGGTGGCTTATTTAGCAGTTACAAGCACTAAAACAAATGGACTATTATGAAATGTATCGTATGAACTCGTGGGATCATCCTCACTCACTGATAAACAGTGGCACACTGGCTGGGAATGGAGTGTGAGGCTGCTCGGGGCTGTGCATATGCGTCCGAGACAAACGACTATTTGCGAGTCAAACGATTTTCGAGTCGATGTTTTGATGAAAAAACGTTAGGATTTTTTAAAATTATGACTTTCGAGCCTTACGTAAAACGAGGGTCCACTGTACATGAAAAAAATTACAGAATTCTTTGCATGGAACTGTGCATTTCACAGTTCCAGTGACTCACTGTTTGGCTGTTGTGCGCATGCGCACATGTCTGCACGCTAGGTAAAGAGAGCACTGTCGTTGATGCAGTGCTGACCCTATTGTGCAGGTGTGAGGTAGTGTTTCTTTTTGACTCATCGACATGTGTTGTGCTTAAAAAGCATGTACAGTGAAACCCCAAGTTTTGAACGTATCGACTATCAAACGCTTTGAGTTTCGACCGCTTTTTTTCAAACCAATTTTGTCCCAAGAATCAAATGCGCCCCATGTTTCAAACTGCTGGGTACCGGACCTGTCTGCCTGCCCGCTCTTTCTAAATCCTCACACAGGCATCATGAGCCAGTCCGGCTTTGTTTATGCTCGAGTGAACACTAACCTACATGCTCATTCAAACATTTCACTGTTAATTCATTGTGTTTGGTGCTTGTTTATTAAGTGCGGCTGTGAAATAAGCTACCATGGTGGTGGTGGATGGTATTGGTGGATGGTTGTGGTAGTGGATGGTATTGGTGGATGGTATTGGTGGATGGTGGTGGTGGATGGTGCCTTCTTCAGAGATTAAGATTTGTGCAGTGTGGAATAGGGTGCAGGCATTTGCTGAAAAATATCACCCTGAGCAAGCTGAAACAAGCCATCTCTGCAGCAAGTTAAATGACAGAACCATGTCCCATTTTAGGGAAATCTTAAAGAAGGGAAGTAACCCAAGATAAGGACTTGTTACCTAAAGTCTTTATAGAAGGAAATTCTTCTTCCAAACAATAAGTGCTCCCTCACTCCTCAATATCTTCCAGATGCCATCAACAATCTTCAATAAAGGTAAGTAAAAATGTTATTTTATGTTATTTAAATGTTTATTTATCTGTTAATTATTGTACTGTGTATGTAAAACTATAATTAATCTCTAAAATGTATTTTTTGTGAATATTTTTGGGTTTCTGGAACGGATTAATTGTATTTACGTTATTTCTTATGGGAAATATTGCTTTGAGTTTCGAACGTTTCGACTTTAGAACTAGCTCTTGGAATGGATTAAGTTCGAAACTCGGGGTTCCACTGTACAGTATTCTTGAATGTAATAGTGTAGAATTAGATGATTATCATGCTTCCAGCTCTTTTATTGAATTCGTAGTTTTTTCGGTTTTTATTTTACACATTGTTAAAGCAATGGCTAAAAATTTTCTAAAGCAGCAGGACCACTAATTTTAGCTACAAGCTGCCACTAGTGTGGTGTGAATGTAATGCAGAGAATTCGTAGTTAGGAGATTAGGAGGAGGAGGTGCAAGATTACCATAGCTATTATCCAGAGGGCTGAGGAGGGGTTATTGAGGTGGCTCAGACATGTAGAGGGAATGGAATGAAATAGGATGACTTCAAGAGTGCATAAATCTGTAAGTGGAGGGAAGGTGGAGTAGGGGTCGGCCTAGGAAAGGTTGGAGGGAGGGGGTAAATTAAATTTTGTGTGCAAGGGGCTTGGACTTCCAGCAAGTATGCATGAGCATGTTAGATAGGAGTGAATGGAGACAAATGGTTCTTAGGACTTGACGTTTTGTTGGAGTGTGAGCACAGTAACACTTATGAAGAGATTCAGGGAAACCAGCAAGCTGGACTTATTATTATTAACCATATATTACCAGTACAGTGCCTGCACTTTGAAGGAGGGGTGTTAATGTTGCAGTTTTATAACTGTAGTGTAAGCATGCCTCTGGCAAGACAGTGATAGAGTGAATGATGAAAGTTTTTCTTTTTTGGGCCACCCTTCCTTGGTGGGAAACGGCCAATGTGTTAATAAAAAAAATAATGTTTAGGTTTCTGAAAGTCATTCTTATTTTTGAAAGCTTAGCTTGGGATGTTAGTGTTATTCTCTTTGTGTGCTTCAAAGGAAAAGTTGGGGTTATAATCATTTACAGGGCTTCTTTTGCTGATTCTGTGAGCAGCTGCTAACCTCCCTCCTCCCAAATGGTCTTCTCTCCAGTTTCCTTTCCTAGTCTTAGCTTTACAACTTCCATTAGGCACTTATTTAATCTTTGCTGTTGTCTGTTACTGCCCTCTTGCAGCCCCCCTTATACAGTGGACCCTCGACAAACGATGGCATCGTCTAACGTTAAATCCGACTAGCGATACATTTTAACACAAAAATTTTGCCTCGACTAGCGCTAAAAAACTCGACCAACATGATTCGTTCCGTTCGAGACGCGTCCACTTGTGGCCAGTGTTTACAAGCCAGCCACCTCGGTCCCATCCAAACATACAATCGGAACATTTCATATTATCACAGCGTTTTTAGTGATTGCACCTGTAAAATAAGTCACCATAGGCCCCAAGAAAGCTTCTAGTGCCAACCCTACAGCAAAAAGGGTGAGAATTACTATGGATATGAAGAAAGAGATTATTGCTAAGTATAAAAGTGGAGTGCGTGTCTCCGAGCTGGCCAGGTTGTACACAAAACCCCAATCAACCATCGCTACTATTGTGGCCAAGAAAACGGCAATCAAGGAAGCTGTTCTTGCCAAAGGTGCAACTATGTTTTCGAAACTGAGATCGCAAGTGATAGAAGATGTTGAGAGACTGTTATTGGTGTGGATAAATGAAAAACAGATAGCAGGAGATAGCATCTCTCAAGCGATCATATGTGAAAAGGCTAGGAAGTTGCATGACGATTTAATTAGAAAAATGCCTGCAACTAGTGGTGATGTGAGTGAATTTAAGGCCAGCAAAGGTTGGTTTGAGAGATTTAAGAATCGTAGTGGCATACATAGTATGATAAGGCATGGTGAGGCTGCTGGTTCGGACCAAAAAGTAGCTGAAAAATATGTGCAGGAATTCATGGAGTACATTGACAGTGAAGAATTGAAACCTGAACAAGTGTTTAATTGTGACACTGACAATGTTGTGAAACACTTTAGGAATGTCATAAAGGAACCGGAGGTACAGGCCTCTATGGACAGATGTGTTGCACGACAGAGATCCAGTGACTCAAGCTGGTCCTAGTGGCATTAAAAGAAGAAGGGAAGTAACCCCGGAAATGGACTTGACACCTCAAGTCCTAATGGAAGGGGATTCCCTTTCTAAATGCTAACACCATCCACACTCTCCCCTCCTCCCATCCCATCAATCATCACCAGATCTTCAATAAAGGTAAGTGTCATGTAATTGTACATGTCTTCTTCAGTTTGTGTGTATTAAAATTAATATTTCATGTGGTTAATTTTTTTTTTTTCAGTACTTTTGGGTGTCTTGCACGGATTAACTTGATTTCCATTATTTCTTATGGGGAAAATTAACTCGACTAACGATAATTTCAATTAACGATGAGCTCTCAGGAACGGATTAATATCGTTGGTCGAGGGTCCACTGTACTATGTTTGTATTCTGCTAATTTGGCATCCTCTGCAAACGAGATTATATAGTAGTTTATTATTGTTATTGTGTAGCTGTCCAAATGAAAATTGTTCTTTTATAATAAATTAATAGTTACTGTACAATGCCAAATTCAAATATTTCAGCTGGACCAGTTCCTGAGCAAAGTTTGTGCCTCTTTGGATGGGTAGGGGGCACACTTGAAGAGGGCCACATCTCTCTTAACCACTACTTAGCTGTGTTTGACATTAATCAGTGGTATCAGGTATGATTATTGCTATGAGTAATTTTAAAGCCATAAATTATTTATCATATATTACCAGTCATAAGTTGGCCAAGGGAGGGAGGAGAGCTTTCAATTTTATGATAATATATAAAAAATCAGATTTGTATATAACTCCAGGTATAAGTTAAAGATTTACTTTGTCATTACAGATGGGACTAAATCAGATTTTTTTTTGCATTACCAATCATCACATGCACTGTGTTTAAATCCTCTGGGGAAACTGGTGTGTGTGTGTGTGTAAAGGTAGAAAGTTGAAAGTGAACATAGATAAGAGTAAAGTGATGAGGGTATCAAATGATTTAGGTAAAGAAAAATTGGATATCACATTGGCAGGAGGGAGTATGGAAGCGGTGAATGTTTTCAGATATTTGGGAGTTAATGTGTCAGCAGATGGGTTTATGAAGGATGAAGTTAACCATAGAATTGATTAAGGATAAAAGGCGAGTTGTGCATTGAGGTATCTGTGGAAACAAAAAACATTATCTACTGAGGCAAAGAATGGAATGTACAAGATTATAGTAGTACCAACACATATGGGAGTGAAGATGGGTTGTAAATGCTGCAGTGACGAGGCAGGTGGAGGCAGTGGAGATGTCATGTCTAAGGGCAGTTTGTGGTGTAAATATTATGCAGAGAATTCATAGTGTGGAACTTAGAAGGTGTGGAGTTACTAAAAGTATTAGTCAGAGGGCTGAAGAGGGGCTGTTGAGGTGGTTTGGTCATTGAGAGGATGGAACGAAGTAGAATGACTTGGAGAGCTTATAAATCTGTAGGAGAAGGAAGGCGGGGTAGAGGTCATCCCTGAAAAGGTTGGAGGGAGAGGGTAAAGGAGGTTTTATGGGTGAGGGCCTTGATCTTCCAACAAGAGTTAGTGAGCATGTTAGATGTGAGTGAATGGAGACGAATGGTTTTTGGGACCTGACGAGCTGTTGGAGTGTGAGCAAGGTAATATTTTGTGAAGGCATTCAAGGAAACTGGTTAGCCAGACTTGAGTACTAAAAATGGGAAGTACAATGCCTGCACTTTAAAGGAGGGGTTTGGGATATTGGCCATTTGGAGGAACATCTTAACTGTCGTATCTGAGTGCCTCTGCAAAGACAGTGATTATGCATGAGTGATGGTGAAAGTGTTGAATGTTGATGAAAGTTTTTTCTTTCTTTTTGTTTTTTTTTAAATGGCCGACATGTTAAAAAATTTATTTATAACTGTAGTGGTCCCGGATTTAAACAGATGGGCCTAAATTAACTTTCCTGCATATCAGTCAGCGTTTTCATGTCCTAAGCATAATCAAGGTTAAAATGTGAGGTAACTGGTGGTAAGTTTTTTTTTTTTTTTTTTAACACAGCTGTCTCCCAATGAAGCTGGGTGACCCAAAAAAAAAAAAAAATACTTTTATCATCATTCACACACAATCACTCTTTGCAGAGGCGTTTGAATACGAAAGTTTAGATGTCACTCCAAACAGCCAATATCCCAAAACCCCTCCTTTAAAGTGCAGGCATTGTATTTCCCACCTTCAGGACTCAAGTCTGGCTAACTGGTTTCTCTGAATTCCTTCACAAAACATTACCCTGCTTGCATTCCAACACCTCATCAGGTCCCAAAAACTATTAGTCCCCATTCATTCCTTTCTAACATGCTCACACTTGCCTGCTTCATGTCCAAGCCCTTTGCACACAAAACCTCTTTTACCCCCCCCTCCATCCTTTACTAGGATGACCCCCTACCTCACCTCCCCACCTCAACAGGTTTATACACCTTCCAAGTCATCTTATTTTGCTCAGTAACCCCTCTTCAACCCTATGAATAATACTTCCTAATAATTTCCACACTAGGAATTCTCTGCATAATATTTATACCACACATTGCCCTTAGACACAACATCTCCACTGCCTCCAGCCTCCTCTTTGCTGCAGTATTTACAACCCATGCTTCACACTCATATAAAGTGGTACCACTATATTCTCGTACATTCCCTTCTTTACCCCCGTGGAAATATAAACACACATGCAGTATAATGTGATCCTTTACTGACAAAGTTTCGCCCACACAGTGGGCTTTTTCAAGTCATGGATAACTTTTTTTTTTGTCTCTGCAGATACCTCAGTGCACCACTTGCTTTTTTCTTTCATCAGTACTGACAAGTCTCCTCCCAAATATCTGAACACATTCAATTCTTTCGTACTTCCTCCTTTCAATGTGATATCCAGTTTTTCTTCACCTGACTAGTTTGATACCCTTATTACCTTAGTATTATCTGTGTTCACTTTCAACTTTCTTTACACGCCCTCCCTAACTTGTCCACTAACCTTTGTAACTTCATTTGTATATTTAAGGTGGAGTATACTTACTGAGTGTTGTTCATACATTGATGCACCAAAGAATTAGGAATCTAGTGTGTGGTAGGCCCTCTGTGTGTGAGAATTTCAACTTCTGAAAAGTAGATTCTATGAATTGGTTGGCTCCTGACTTTTTGCTTAAAAATTTGGTTTTAAAATCTTGACCTATACACAGTTTTTTTTTTTTTTTTTTTTAAACATTGGTCATTTCCCACCAAGGCAGGGTGACCCACAAAGAAAGAAAAACCCAACAAAGAAAGAAAAAAAAACCAAAGAAAAAACATTCATGTTCAACACTTTCACCATCATTCATTCATAATCACTCTTTACAGAGGCACTCAGATACAACAGTTTAGATGTCACTCCAAACAGCCAATATCCCAAACCCCTCCTTTAAAGTATTTATACCACACATATCACCTCCAAGACTCGAGTCTGGCTAACTGGTTTCCCTGAATCCCTTCACAAAATATTACTGCTCACACTCCAACAGCTCATCAGGTCCCAGAAACCATTCATCTCCATTCACTCTTAACACATTCATGCACACTTGCTGGAAGTCCAAGCCCCTTGCCCACAAAACCTCCATCCCCCCCCCTCTTCCCCTCCAACCTTTCCTAGGATGACCTCTACCCCTCCTCCCCTCCACTACGGATTTATATGGTCTCCAAGTCATTCTACTTTGTTTCATCCTTTCTAAATGACCGAACCACCTCAACAACCCCTCTTCAGCCCTCTGATTAATACTTTTAGTAACTCCACGCCTCCTCCTAATTTCCACACTACGAATTCTCTGCATAATATTTATGCCACACATTGCCCTTAGGCACAGTATCTCCACTGCCTCCAGTCTCCTTGCTGCAACATTAACAACCCTTGCTTCGCACCCATATAAGAGTATTGGTACCACTATACTCTTGCACATTCCCATTCTCCATGGATAACATTTTTTGTCTCCACAGATACCTCAAAGCACCACTCAAATTTTTTCCTTCATCATTTCTATAGTTAACCTCATCTTTGATAAACACAGGTGTATATAGTAGCTTATTTCTACCTGCCTTACAAGCCATGTTTGACATAAGCACAAATTTCCCAGAATTCATAAAGAATAGAAAACATCCTTGCATAGGATGCATCAGGGCCTGATTTATGGATTTTTTTTATTTTTTAAGAGGTGAAAAAAATTCTGCTAGCATGAGCATTCTGTAGTCTTTGAAGAAAGCACTTGGATATATGGGAAATCCCAGAGGACTTGAATAGTTTCATAAAAGTCTTTGATAAAGCTTGACCTACTCAACCAATGTATACATGAATTTAGAGCAAGAGGATCATATTTGTCACATTTACTGTACCATTATGACAAAATTATGGAAACTTTCAAAGAAAACTAGAACTCAGATGTAGTCCACATGAATTTCACTGGGGCATTTGATGAATGTGATTATGGAGTGATAGCCCATAAAATAAGTTCATTAGGTATAACAGGAACAGCAGGAAAATTGATATTCACATATTTAATGACTAGAACAAAAAGTTAAGTAATAAACAAAGGAAAATCTATCCTTAGCACAGTAAAAATTTCAGTACCATAAAAAGTCTTTGCTATTTCTCATCCCTATAACAGACATTCATAAAAACAATAGCTACTGCTTTGTGTTATCCCTTGTGGACAGTACCAAAATAAGCATGAAAGTTGCCTTGGTAGAAGACATGGAGTATTTTTCTGGGCACATTTATTTAGCAAAAAATTTGAATAATGGCCAATAATTTGTGGTAGTACTGTTTGGAGAGTTGAAGGGGGACTATTATTTCTTTCAGGCACAAATGCCCTCAAACTTGAAACTTGAGAAGAACAGCCTTTGCCCCTACATGAGCTTTCACATACTAGATAGAGTGCCTGGACATAGTACTAATGGTGGCTTAAGTGAAATTGTCTTGGGTGCTGCCCCAAAGCCTGCATCATGGGCACGACACATGTCTCGCACTTGTAATGAAAGCGATTGGTTCCCTGCAGCATTGTCATATGGTGAGTTTTATTTTTTAAACTATTCATTAGTGGAATTTATTATTATTTTTTGTGATATTATTCACCTTGTATATGTATGTCATATTTCTTTTGAGGCTTTATCATTTCAAAATTAATATTTTTTATTATTATTCCATATTATATTGCTTCTCTACTGATTAGCTTATCACAGTATAAAACAGCTTCAGTAACTGCTTTGCCTGATCCACTACTGTAAAGTTCTTTCATTTTAAAGCTGCCTTTGTTATTATCTTTTTTTTAGCTTTCACTTCCACATTGTAACCCTAAATACCAGTTCTCTTGTCATAGTGTAGTGTCTCATGCCATTTTCAAATTTCCTATTGTAAAATCTTTATTTTTCTAGCTCTTTTCCTCATTAATCCATTTGCTTTCAAATTCTGGATCACATAATCAGCCTTCTTGTTGTATCACCTGTTATCCCTTGTAAACAGTAAACCCCTTGAATGCATACAAGTATCCCTTGTTTTATGCTGTAGATGCATTCCATGACCTTGGCACCTGTACTCAACTCAGCCTGGCCACACACACAACACATTACGAGAATCGTTGGTGCTCTCGCAATCCATACTAGTCACATACTGCAGATATGGTGGATGGATATGCATGTGTCTGTTGTCTCCCTGTGCTATGTGGTTTTATTGCCAAGTTTGTTAGTCATTTTTGGCTATAGGCAAATTAATATGGGCAAGAATAAATCGCTAACACTCGAGACAGTTGCACAGATGATTAGGTTGCAAAAGATAGGTCATCAAACGAAAGAAATAGTAACAGAAGAATTGAGTGGTGGGTAGAGGCTCTGACTGTGGTACACTGGGGTTATTGGATGTTGTTGCACTTCATGCCAGCAAGGCAGAGTTGCCATTATGTACTTAAAATTCACTTATTAATAGACAAAATAGAAAAAAGTCGTAAATACATACAATTTTTTACTTAGGTTTGCTCTTGTTGTCTTGGTGAAAGTGATACTTTTTTTTTTTTTCTCCCACCCACCAAGGCAGGGTGACCCAAAAGAAAGAAAAAAAAACTTTCATTATTACTCAACACTTTCACCATCACTCATATATAGTCACTGTCTTTGCAGAGGTGCCCAGATCCAACAGTTTATATAGTCACTCCAAACTGCCAATATCCCAAACCCCACCTTTAACCCTTTGATTGTTTTGGTCGTATATATACGTCTTACGAGGTACCGTGTTTGACGTATATATACTCAGAAATTCTAGCGGCTTCAAATCAAGCAGGAGAAAGCTGGTAGGCCCATGTGTGAGAGAATGGGTCTGTGTGATCAGTGTGCATCATATAAAAAAACCTGGAGCACGCAGTGCATAATAAGGAAAAAAAACTGGCCGTTTTTTTTTTTTTAATTAAAATGCTGACTTTGTGGTCTATTTTCGTATAGTATTTATGGTTGTATTCTCATTTTCTTGGTCTTATTTGATATAATGGAAAACATATTATAGAAATAAAGGGGATTTTGATTGATTTTACTATAAAAAGAACCTGGAAATCTAGCTCAAAGTAGGGGAAATGTTTGATTTTTGCCGATGTTCAAAAGTAAACAAATGATGCCATTGTCCAATAAATGTCCAACTAGCCATTCTAATATGCAGTCATGAATGGGTTGGCATTATTTGTACAATTATTACAGTATTGCAGTAGTCTGCATAACAGCAAATCCTCTATTTTTTATTTGAATAAAAATTCATAATAGAAAGCAAGAGTAATATCAGATGGGCCTGGAGACGTGACTGATGAACAAGACAAATGTTATTTTAGAGCCAGGAATGTCTGCATTGTTCATTCTGGACCTTATTTTGAAATTGTCGTATTTTTTAATTTTCGTGAAATTGGTCAAATTGTAAATTTCTGACCCCGTTATTGGATAGTTGAAATCGGTAAATGGGCAGTTTCTTGTACTCAGTCGTTAGAAAAAACGGAGTTCTAAAGAAATACCTATGAGTTTGGTTGACTGGAACAATGGAATTAGCCGAAAATAGGGCTCAAAGTGGGCGAAATCGCCGATTTGTAAATATCGCTGAGGTCGCTAACTTTGCGAGAGCGTAATTCCGTCAGTTTTCCATCAAATTTTGTTTTTTTTGGTGTCATTACAATCGGGAAAAGATTCTCTATCATTTCATAAGATTTTTTTTTTTTTTTGCGACACCAGGAGACGCCTCAGGATTGGGGGTTGCCACAGTCAAAGGGTTAAAGTGCAGGCATTGTACTTCCCATTTCCAGGACTCAAGTCTGGCTAACTGGTTTCCCTGAATCCCTTCAAAAAATATTACCCTGCTCACACTCCAACAGCTTGTCAGGTCCCAAAAACCATTTGTCTCCATTCACTCCTATCTAGCATGCTCTCACACACTTGCTGGAAATCCAAGCCCTTCGCCTTCAAAAACCTCCTTTACCCTCTCCCTCCAACCTTTTCGTGGAGGACCCCTACCCCACCTTCCTTTCCCTACAGATTTATATGTTCTCCAAGTCATTCTACTTTGTTCCATTCTCTCTAAATGACCAAACCACCTCAACCCCCTCTTCAGCCTCCGCATACATTGCCCTTAGGACATCTCCACTGCCTCCAGCCGCCTCCTCACTGCAGCATTTACAACCCAAGCTTCACATCCATATAAGAGTGTTGGTACCACTGTACTTTCATACATTCCCTTCTTGGCTTCCATGGATTTTTTTTTTTTTTTTTTTTCTTCTGTCTCCACAGATACCACAATGCACCACTCACCTTTTTTCCTTCATCAGTTCTATGGTTAACCTCAACCTTCATAAACCCATCCACTGACAATTCAACTCCCAAATACAGTGGTACCTCAAATTTCAGCCATAATTCATTCCACAAGGCGGTTCGAGTTCCGTTACCGAACAGATTTGTTCCCATAAGAAGTAATGTAAATTAGGTTAGTCCGTTTCAGACCCCCAAAAATACACTTACAAAAGCACTTGCAAAAATACACTTACGTAATTGTTCGAGTTGGGGGCTGTTTGAAATTCGGGGTACCACTGTATCTGAAAACAGTCACTTCTTCCATAGTCCCTTTCTCCAATGTGATATCCGATTTTTTCTTTATCTAAATCGTTTGATACTCTCATCACCTTACTCTTATCTATATTCACTTTCCAGTTTCTACCTTTACCTTAATGAGATAATTTTAAAAACAAAATATTGTTCACATGCAGTAGAAGTTTTCAGTTTGGTTATGGCGTTAAAGGCTTTCATTCAGTTGATAAGCTTTAAACGAAGCATGTTAATATATCTTCAGTCCCTGGATCATGTGGCTCTGTTGTAATCTGTCACATTGGCAGTATTATTTTTTTACTCCATTTTCTGATATTTGCTCACCTGAAAAATTTGTGCAGCTGCTCAGATTATTTTTCCCCTTTCAGTATACTGTTCTTATTGCATTTACCAAACTAGTATGCATGGGATGTCTCTTTTGTGAACTCTCAGGATTTAAAGCATTTAAAACATTTCCTTCCTTGCTCTACTTTTCTTAATTTCTAAACACCAAAATAATAATCGTTCTCCATTTTCGTAAGTATTGCTTGTCTCATTGTTAGCATAGAGGATCAAGCCTTTATGATTATGGTAAATAACCCCTGCAGGTTTAGTATTGATATAAACACTGTACTATAATTTATATTATACAAGTCTTTATCCAAGTAAAAATATTTTTCATTGTTAAAAGTTTTGCCATTACCTTGGAAATGATTATGTTGTTAATTAGCATTAATACGTAAATTCTACAGAATTCACCATAACCATTCCCTTTTAGATGCTCATTTGCTGACAAGTGAAGGTTTAATGGAGTACCGATGTCAGAGTGCACAGCAGGCAGCACTAACTTACCTCACCTCTAATGGACCATCAGCAATTGTGAGCCCAGAGGAGTCTTATGCTATGTGTGTATTTGCTGGCCTTGTATCTCCTGATGTCCATCCCACCACCACCACTGGTTCTTCCATGGTGAGTTGAATTTATGCTCTACTGTAAAAGAGATTTTGGAGGCTATGCAAAAATGCACACTTTTCTTCCGACACAACAGCTGTCTCCCACTGAGGCAGGGTGGCTCAAAAAAAGAAAAACATTTTTGCCATCGTTCACACCTAATCACTGTCTTTGCAAAGGCACACAAATATGACAGTTCAGATGTCACTCCAAACAGCAAATATCCCAAACCCCTTCTTTAACCCATTAACTGTCCAAACGTAGATCTATGTTCTCTCCCCCGGCGCTCTGAATTTTTTTTTTTTTTTTTCCAACAAGTCGGCCGTCTCCCACCGAGGCAGGGTGACCCAAAAAAAGAAAGAAAATCCCCAAAAAGAAAATACTTTCATCATCATTCAACACTTTCACCACACTCACACATTATCACTGCTTTTGCAGAGGTGCTCAGAATACAACAGCTTAGAAGCATATACGTATAAAGATACACAACATATCCCTCCAAACTGCCAATATCCCAAACCCCTCCTTTAAAGTGCAGGCATTGTACTTCCCATTTCCAGGACTCAAGTCCGACTATATGAACATAACCGGTTTCCCTGAATCCCTTCACTAATTATTACCCTGCTCACACTCCAACAGATCGTCAGGTCCCAAGTATCATTCGTCTCCATTCACTCCTATCTAACACGCTCATGCACGCTTGCTGGAAGTCCAAGCCCACAAAACCTCCTTTACCCCCTCTTTCCAACCCTTTCGAGGACGACCCCTACCCCTCCTTCCTTCCCCTATAGATTTATATGCTTTCCATGTCATTCTACTTTGATCCATTCTCTCTAAATGACCAAACCACCTCAACAACCCCTCTTTTGCCCTCTGACTAATGCTTTTATTAACTCCACACCTCCTAATTTCCACACTCCGAATTTTCTGCATAATATTTACACCACACATTGCCCTTAGACAGGACATCTCCACTGCCTCCAACCGTCTCCTCGCTGCTGCATTTACCACCCAAGCTTCACATCCATATAAGAGTGTTGGTACTACTATACTTTCATACATTCCCTTCTTTGCCTCCATAGATAACGTTTTTTGACTCCACATATACCTCAACGCACCACTCACCTTTTTTCCCTCATCAATTCTATGATTAACCTCATCCTTCATAAATCCATCCGCCGACACGTCAACTCCCAAGTATCTGAAAACATTCACTTCTTTCATACTCCTCCTCCCCAATTTGATATCCAATTTTTCTTTATCTAAATCATTTGACACCCTCATCACCTTACTCTTTTCTATGTTCACTTTCAACTTTCTACCTTTACACACATTCCCAAACTCATCCACTAACCTTTGCAATTTTTCTTTAGAATCTCCCATAAGCACAGTATCATCAGCAAAAAGTAACTGTGTCAATTCCCATTTTGAATTTGATTCCCCATAATTTAATCCCACCCCTCTCCCAAACACCCTAGCATTTACTTCCTTTACAACCCCATCTATAAATATATTAAACAACCATGGTGACATTACACATCCCTGTCTAAGACCTACTTTTACCGGGAAGTAGTCTCCCTCTCTTCTGCACACCCTAACCTGAGCCTCACTATCCTCATAAAAACTCTTTACAGCATTAATAACTTACCACCTATTCCATATACTTGCAACATCTACCACATTGCTCCTCTATCCACTCTATCATATGCCTTTTCTAAATCCATAAATGCAATAAAAACTTCCCTATCTTTATCTAAATACTGTTCACATATATGCTTCAATGTAAACACCTGATCTACACATCCCCTACCCACTCTAAAACCTCCTTGCTCATCCGCAATCCTACATTCTGTCTTACCTCTAATTCTTTCAATTATAACCCTACTGTACACTTTTCCTGGTATACTCAGTAAGCTTATTCCTCTATAATTTTTACAGTCTCTTTTGTCCCCTTTTCCCTTTATATAAAGGGACTATACATGCTCTCTGCCAATCCTAGTGTACCTTCCCCTCTTTCATACATTTATTAAACAAAAGTACCAACACTCCAACACTATATCCCCCCTGCTTTTAACATTTCTGTCATGATCCATCAGTTCCAGCTGCTTTACCCCCTTTCATTTTACGTAATGCCTCACGTACCTCCCCCACACTTACATTCTGCTCTTCTTCACTCCTAAAAGATGGTATACCTCCCTGACAGTGCATGAAATTACTGCCTCTGTTTCTTCCTAACATTTAAAAGTTCCTCAAAATATTCTCGCCATCTACCTAATACCTCCATCTCCCCATCTACTAACTCCCTACTCTGTTTTTAACTGAACAAATCCATATTTTCCCTAGGCTTTCTTAACTTGTTTAAACTCACTCCAAAATTTTTTCTTATTTTCATTAAAATTTCTTGACAGTGCCTCTCCCACTCTATCATCTGCTCTCCTTTTGCACTCTCTCACCACTCTCTTTACCTTTCTTTTACTCTCCATATACTCTGCTCTTCTTATAACACTTCTGCTTTGTAAAAACCTCTCATAAGCTACCTTTTTCTCTTTTATCACACCCTTTACTTCATCATTCCACCAATCACTCCTCTTTCCCCCCTGCCCCCACCCTCCTATAACCACAAACTTCTGCCCCACATTCTGATACTGCATTTTTAATACTATTCCAACCCTCTTCAACCCCCTCACTACTCATCTTTGCACTAGCCCACCTTTCTGCCAATAGTCGCTTATATCTCACCCGAACTTCCTCCTCCCTTAGTTTATACACTTTCACCTCCCTCTTACTTGTTGTTGCCACCTTCCTCTTTTCCCATCTACCTCTTACTCTAACTGTAGCTACAACTAAATAATGATCCGATATATCAGTTGCCCCTCTATAAACATGTACATCCTGGAGCCTACCCATCAACCTTTTATCCACCAATACATAATCTAATAAACTACTTTCATTACGTGCTACATCATACCTTGTATATTTATTTATCCTCTTTTTCATAAAATATGTATTACTTATTACCAAATTTCTTTCTACACATAGCTCAATTAAAGGCTCCCCATTTACATTTACCCCTGGCACCCCAAATTTACCTACTACTCCTTCCATAACATTTTTACCCACTTTAGCATTGAAATCCCCAACCACCATTACTCTCACACTTGATTCAAAACTCCCCACGCATTCACTCAACATTTCCCAAAATCTCTCTCTCTCCTCTACACTTCTCTCTTCTCCAGGTGCATACACGCTTATTATAACCCACTTTTCACATCCAATCTTTATTTTACTCCACATAATCCTTGAATTAATACATTTATAGTCCTCTTTTCCTGCCATAGCTTATCCTTCAACATTATTGCTACTCCTTCTTTAGCTCTAACTCTATTTGAAACCCCTGACCTAATCCCATTTATTCCTCTCCACTGAAACTCTCCCACCCCCTTCAGCTTTTGTTTCACTTAAAGCCAGGACATCCAGCTTCTTCTCATTCATAACATCCACAATCATCTCTTTCTTATCATCTGCACAACATCCACGCACATTCAGACTTCCCACTTTGACAATTTTCTTCTTATTCTTTTTAGTAATCTTTACAGGAAAAGGGGTTACTAGCCCATTGTTCCCGGCATTTTAGTTGACTTTTACAACACGCATGGCTTACGGAGGAAAGATTCTTATTCCACTTCCCCGTGGATATGAAAGGAAAATTAATAAGACCAAGAACTATTAAGATAAAATCAAAGAAAACTCAGATGAGTGTGTATAAATAAATGTGTACATGTATGTGTAGTGTGACCTAAGTGTAAGTAGAAGTAGCAAGACGTACCTGTAATCTTGCATATTTATGAGACAGACAAAAGACATCAGCAATCCTACCATCATGTAAAACAATCACAGGCTTCGTTTTACACTCACTTGGCAGGACGGTAGTACCTCCCTGGGTGGTTGCTGTCTACCAACCTACTACCTATTATTATTATTATATACTTCCACATATCCAAAACATTGCTGAGACCAATAAATACTTTGTTTATATTCCAAGACAATAGTAAATGTAAAGTAAAAGGACACAAGTGCAACTAATGTGACATTTATTGTGGCAACGTTTCGCTCTCCAGGAGCTTTATCAAGCAGGTGTAAATGTCCACTTGTCAGTGTGTTTGTGAGAATTTGAGTACAATTTCAGTACCTAATACTGGTGTCAGAACAAAGATTGGTTATGAAATGACAAGAACTACTACAAATTGTAATTATCAGAACATAAAAATTACATAAAATAATATGAAAAATAAAAAAAAGGTATATCGGCAACATTTCTGCAAGCAGCAGGACTCGGTGTTGCTGTCAAGTGAGCATCCAGTGCCAACTTCTGGGCCTATGAGGCCCAGAAGTCGGTAAATACTGACCCTAATTTTTTTTTTTATCCTATAACACTTAGAATAATGTGCTCTGTTTTTTTTTTTTTTTTTAATTAAAAAAAAAAATTTTTTTTATTTTTCAAAACATTCGGGGCGCTTCGCGAATGAACGTATATACGTTTGGACCGTTTAAGGGTTAATCGCATTATATAATGATAAGGATAAAAAAATAATTTACAAATTGCTGTATACTAAGATAGTACTTGACACAAGTAATGTATTGCTAAAAAAAAATATTATGGAAATGTTATTGGTTTTCTACAGTAATACTAGTGCTGATTAAAACAAGTAAAAAAAAAAATAGTAATCATCTTTCCTGAATGGCCATCTCCCACCAAGGCAAGGTGGCCCCAAAGAGAGGAAACTCGTTCACCATCATTCATTCAATTCACTCTTTCCAGAAGACAGCAATAGCAGTTACCTTCAGACTGCAACACCCCCTTTGTGTCCCACCTCTCAGACTCTCATCTGGCTAACCATTTCCCCAAACCCCTTCATAAAGGTTGCCTTGCTCACATACCAACAGCATGCATTGAAAGTCACTTGGCTCTGTTCATTCCTATCTAAACATGCTCACCCAAACCTGGATGCTCAAGTCCC